GTTCTGGGGCAGGGAATCCCTGTGCCTCACTGTCTCCTCCTTTCTCCTCCCGCTGGTGCCGGCGCCTCAGTGTAGATTGGAAGCTCCTTGGGGCAGGGAGCGCCCAGCGCCGGACACGACAGGGCCCTGATCCAGAGCAGGCGTCTAGGGGAGAACTTGTGCCCGGGCCCCTGGTGACGCGTCACAGCAGCCAGTCTGAATCCAGGGCTCTGAGGCCCCCCACTCCGCAGGACGGGCTGTAACAGGGGGCTCACTTGTGTGAGTAGCCAGCTCTGCCGTTGCACTGGGAATTAACCCAGGCACGTGGTTATCTGCCCCTGGCTTCCCGCTGGCTCTGTGCTGACCTCAGGAGACTGGCCCATGCCCCGATGCTGCAAAGCCATCCTCATGGGCAAGCCCCTTTATCCCGCCCAGCGTCCCGCCGACCCCCGGCGATGACCCATGGGCATGAGGGTTCCCTGTGCCCAGTCGGGGTCCCCATGGGCAGACAAGCTGTGCTGGACTCCCCAGCTGGGCCCAGGGTCAGAGCCCCTCTCCTGTGCTTTGCTCCCCCAGCTGGGTGATGTACGAGAAGCCACGGTACCATGGGCGGAAGTGTGTGCTGGCCGAGGGGGATGTGGAGATCAGCAATCCCTGGGCAGCCTATCGGAAAGATGGGGAGGCGCCCGAGAACACGCCCTTCCGCATCGGCTCCCTCAAGAGGGTGGTGAGGGTGAGTGCGGGACCCATTGAGGCTGGTGTCTGGGTGGGTTTGATCCTCTTAGAAAACTTGCTCTCCTCCAAAGCAACGGGAGCTTCAGCAAAGCTGAGTCCAAGCCAAAGTTCCTGCTCATCTTTTCCATCCATGTGCGGAATACATTTCTCATGTGCACCGAGGCATGGGGGAGTGTGCACCACTGCCTGGCCCTCCTCTGCCTTCCAGCAGAGGAGCAGAGTGGCGGACTCAAGGGAGGGGGGTGAGGAGATGTTCACCCACAGAAGTGCTGGTTGTAGCGGGAGAGGGAACAGCAAGGCCCAGGGTGAGTGTAAGGCCAGGGGCGCAGCAGGAGCTTTGTTTACAAGGCAGATTCTTGGGATCCCTCGGGCTTCTGGGTCCATTGGAAGAAGCGTCTAAAACTTCACGGACTCCTCCGCAACCTGGGCAAAAGCCCTGAGGGAAGTTGGGTTGAACTTGTCCTTGGGGATCTGAACCAGAGAGTGAAGCAGCTGGCACCTGCGTGGAAGCCGGGGCGGGTTTCCCTGGGTTGGTTCTGAGCACAGTGACGAAGGCGCCTCCTGGCTAGCAGCCGCTGTCCCCTCTTCCAGGATTACCGGCTCCCCGAGATCAGTTTGTTTAGCGCCGAGAATGGAGAAGGCACCAAAGTGCGGTTCACGGGCTCCTCGGAAGACACCCGGCTCTGTGCCAAGCCCTTGACGGCCTCGTCCATCATTGTCCACTCCGGCCTGTAAGCCTCGCGCAGCCTCAGGGCCCCTCCTTCTCCCTGAGGTCGGTGGGAAGACTCGCCCGAGGCCTGCCCGTGTAACTGTCCGCTCCCTCTGCTCCAGGTGGCTGATTTACTCCAAGCCTTTCTTTGACGACGACCCCTACGTTTTGGAACCTGGCGGGTACCCCAGCTTAAAAGCCTGGGGTGCGAAGGACCCCGCAGTCTGCTCCCTGCATCCCATTACACTGGTGAGCGCCCGGCCGTGCCGTCTCCTGCCTCCCCACTGGGGGACGCTGCCTGCTGCTGTCCCTGCCCCGTGGAGGAGAGCAAGGGGCAGAAATAGCAACCGGCTTTTCCGCAAAGGACAGGCAGCCCTGGGCCGGGGCGAGGGCCCTGTGGACCGTTGGGGTTGGGCCCCTCCCTCGTGGAGATGCAGCTCCCAAGGGGGAGACCGGGAGCAGCAAAGCCAGGGCTGCACGGAGGCGTCTCCTCAGGCCAGCCGACCCTCGCACACAGCCCCCTCCTGCCTGACAAGACCAAGCAGCCGCGTTTCCCTTCCACAGCGTTTGCGGCCCGAGCCCTCAGCCTCATGCGGGCCCTGCTTCACGCTCTCCCCGGCCGCTCTCTGAGCTCTCCTTTGGGTTTCCTCTCGTTTCAGGGCTGCCCGGTGGTAGAGAAACCTGGGGAGCCCAAGGTAAGAGAAGAAGGCGCTTGCCGAGCCTGGGCCCAAAAACTGGGGCCAGGGTCAGTCCCCAAAGGGTCAGTGTCCTCAGAGGCAGCCGCCCCGCCAGGAGGCGCTGTTGGGGGACACGCCAAGAGACGGGTGGGGGGCTGCTCCCAACCCACTCACAGCTGTTGCTAAGAGGCATGACTATGGAAATGGCATCAGGACGAACTGGGCAGGAGCGTGAGCTGTGGGGATGCTCCTGCTACTCCCGCCTCTCCCAGCAGGGGGCGCTGTCGAGAACGGGGCAGGAGCGTGAGCTGTGGGGATGCTCCTGCTACTCCCGCCTCTCCCAGCAGGGGGCGCTGTCGAGAACGGGGCAGGAGCGTGAGCTGTGGGGATGCTCCTGCTACTCCCGCCTCTCCCAGCAGGGGGCGCTGTCGAGAACGGGGCAGGAGCGTGAGCTGTGGGGATGCTCCTGCTACTCCCACCTCTCCCAGCAGGGGGCGCTGTTGGGAACTGGGCAGGAGCGTGAGCTGTGGGGATGCCCAGCTCTAGATGAGACTCGATGTAATCCCAAAGTTCCCTGGGCACCATGCAAATCTGACGTCTTTCTGGCTTCACTGAAAGGAATTCACACCACTGGAATGTTAAAATCAATGGTAATAACCAGGAACGGGGCAGGAGCGTGAGCTGTGGGGATGCTCCTGCTTCTCCCGCCTCTCCCAGCAGGGGGCGCTATTGGAAATGGGTCAAGAGCGTGAGCCGTAGGTCAGCTCCATCCCAGCCTGCAAGCCGTAGGTCAGCTCCATCCCAGCCTCCATCCCTAGGTCTGCATCTGTGGGTCCTCAGTTGCCAGGTTCCCTGTCTCTCTCCAGGCCGTGATCTACGAGCTGGCGGGTTTCCAGGGCCACAGCTGTGAAGTGAACCAAGACATCTATGACCTGAACAGCCTGGGGCCTGGGATGCCCCCGGTGGGGTCTCTGCGCATCCTGGGGGGCTGGTGAGCGAGGGTCTCATTGCAAAGTGCCCTGAGCCCAGGAGATGGACTGGGGGAGGCGCCACGTGTGCCCAGAGGGGGAAGGTCCCCCCGCCCCCAGCAGTGGCCTGGGATGGCCTCACGCTTGTCTCTGTCTCCCTCCCCCAGCTGGGTCGGCTACGAGAAGGAGGGGTTCCGGGGCCACCAGTATCTGCTGGAGGAAGGCGAATACCCCGACTGGCAGCAGTGGGGAGGCTGCAGCGCCGCGCTGGGGTCCTTGCGGCTCATCCGGACGGTGAGACTCGCCAGCTGCGGGGCTTGGGACCGCGGGCAGCCGGGCCGCCGGCCCCCCCGAG